CCCCCCGGCTGCCCCCCCCCTGCTGCATCCCCCCTGCTGCATCCCCCCTGCTGCATCCCCCCTGCTGCATCCCCCCTGCTGCATCCCCCCTGCTGCATCCCCCTGCCACTGGTGTGCTGGGGGACACAGAGCCAAGGAGCACACGGGCTGTGTCCTCCCGTCATGGCCTCGCACTCCGGTGCTGCTGGTTTTGTGACAGCGAGCACCTTTAGCCCAGGCCTGGTTAACCTAAGTGAGTCAACCTTGCAGCTGCAGTGCCTGCTGCCGTCGCTGCTGGGAGAGGTTTTGTGTTCGCTGCAGATACCTCAAAATCTCGAATTCCCTGCTCTTAGGGACACACTGTTCCTTTTGAGTGGCAGCACCTTGGCAGCAGGTCCGGGGGCTGCCTGCGTGGGGAGAGCCCTGCAGCCCCAGCAGTGGAAACTGCCAGTAATCACCCCCCACTGATGAGCAGCCTCTCACTACACTCCTCAGTCTTGTATAGAGCAGTCTCGGCCCATTTATAGTGCCCTTGCCTCACAGGATTGTACTGTTTGGGCCACAGGAACACGAAGTCTGTCTCCCTGCCTTTCACGGATTTTCTTGCTGCTTCAACTGGAAGATCCATGCTCAAATTCCTCTGTTCAGCAGGTACACTAGTGTCATCCACCCCTTCTGTCTGTAAACACTCCTAAAGCCCCTGGGTAAACTGTTCTTAGCCCTCTGTCATAGTCCTTAGGAAAGCAGGGAGTGTTTGTAATTTGCTTGGATGTTATTTGTAATGAAATATTGCATCACTTAAGAAAACAGCAGCAAATGTGGGACTGTGTTGAGCAGCCTGTCTTCAAAAAGATATGGTGAGCAGCAGCTACCTATCAAACAGCAGCTGGCTTCATGGTTTGAGGGACCATTCTGGTTTCCAGCATTGCAATTCTAGCTGCTGCTTTCTGTGCCCCTGATCCCACCTCGTGTATCCTCATGGGATTGATTGAGAGTCCTTAGAGACATATTTCCTCCTGCCTGTCACAGACAAACATTATGGGTATGTAATGTTGGGGGAATATTCTTTTTTTATGTATCTCATGACTTTCTATTGCCTGATGCTGACATTTGTGTATACTGATTTCTGTTTGGAAAAGGGAATTGCATTTAGCTGGCTATGTTGAGATTAAAAAAAAATAGACAAATCCTAACCATGAAAATAGGTGGTAAGGCATTAGGAAACATGCATGTCTGTAGAGCAGAGAGGTGTTTGTTTTCCTAATTGTCTAGATGAATCTTTGTCAGAAGGAACATGGATGTCTCCCTTTCTACCCTCATCTCTGTACCTGGTCTTTAGAACCCACCTGCAGACCATGCAGGTAGTAAAGGGAGAGCTGACCTCACTCTCCTGCACATCTGCTAAATACATACAGGAGAAGAAAAAACAACAAAGAGATTTTCTCCTTTTATTCTGCACTGCCTGAGGCACTCTGCTGGGGGCTCTCTCTTGTATTTAAGCTGGAGGAGACTCTCCTGAATAAATATTTAAAGCCTTTGGTCTGGATCCAGGTAAAACACAATGCAGTCCCTGCACACAGGAGAGTGCTGTTCAGGGAGCAGTTGGCCCTCTCTGCTTTGCCAACCAGTGGCCATGCTTTTATATCTGCGTGGGCAAAATTGCCCCTAAACAGACTGGTATTTTTGTCTAATTTGCAATAATCCAGCCTACCCCAGCAGTAGTGTTGTGTTACAAAATCTCTGTCAAGGGTTTCCTGCAAACCTGAAGGACGTGACATCTACTTGTGCCAGGTAATGTAACTCCTACAAATGCAGAGCTGGTAGGATTCCTTGAATGGCACCTATAGCCACCTGCCCTGCCCCTTCCCCCCATTTTAAAAAATGTTTATGAAGGGATGAGCCCCTTCATGAGCTGATCAAGCCTAGCCTTTAGAGTAGGGGGATTTAATTGCTTTTGCTCTCAGCAGAGGCCTGTGCTAATGTCCTGCTGCAAGGTTTTCTGCTGCTTACCTTTCACCTTTGATCCTTCAAACACTTCTTTTGTGGTAGAATCTCCATTCCCCCTCTGTTACTGCCTTTTTTCTTTGTTTTTGTTTTTTTCCAGTTTCAGGTTTTTATTATTAAATATGTGTTACAGAATTCTATGCCACAGTCTAAAGAATGGATCACCATTACCATGTATTTAATCTCTCTCTCAGCTGGAAATATGTTGCTGAATACACCATGGGATCATGCTACCAGGATTCATAGGCTCACTGCAGAGCCATCTTATGAACAGAACATGTTTTATGGATCTTGGTCTTGTCCTCTGCCATTTTCAGCTAATCAGCCCCCACCTAAATTTTTTGGTAACTATTTCCTAAGTATGTGTTCTTACTTTTTATGTCCTCTGTGTTCTTAAATTTAACACACACACTTTTTTTTTTTTTTTTTCCTGGAATAGTAAATGAGTCTGGCTTGTTTATTGACCTTTAAAGGTCATATTTCTGGGGCTTCCATTGCAGGAGGGATGCATCCCACCTCTGCTCCACTAGCACAGTTTCTAAATATGCCCAGTTTCTTCTGGAGAGGTTCAGTAACTAAAATTTTAATTGACACTAGCCCCAAGATCAAGGACTTCTACTAGAAACCTCTCTCAGTTGCAGCAGCTTTCCTTCCAAATCAGAAACTTCCTTTTTGCCTTCCTCACCCAGACAACCCATGGCTGCCTTCCTCTTCTGCTGAATTAATTATTGCCTTTGACTTCAGCTGAGCTGTGCATTGTTCATATTAGCGTGAAGGGAAAGTCAGGTGTGTGTGTTTTTATGACTTGGGAGTGTTTTTAAGGGGTCCTGAAGCCGTGAGTCATTGTTAAAGTCTGACTGTCTTTGAGAACTGTCTGCTCTCAGTCTGGCAGTAAATATTCAGGAAGATGACTCAGGAGGGGAGACCACACTGTGGTTTAATATTTGACTAAGATTATAAGAGCTGTTAAACATGCATGGCTTGTAACAAACTGTGTGCAGAACTCTGTGTCACCTGCCTTCTTGTGATTGCTGTGAAGACCTCAGCACCCGTCGGGAGGTGGATGCCCACCTTCCAGAAGGAAGTTACTCCAACATGCAGAAAAATAAGGTCCCCTTTGCCATGCTGTGCAGCTCAGTTTCATGGCATCACAGTCTGCAATGACTGCCTGACAGCAGCTTGTCCCACCAGTTGCTGCAGACAAATCCATTCTGCTGCACTTTACCTGGAAACTGTTCCATGTGTCATTAACACTTGGGAGACAGGTTTGCTTGTTTGCTTGCTTGCTTGCTTGTTTTGTTGTATTTGCCCCAGGTTAAACCTCCTGGTGTGGTTTAGGGGTGAGACCAGGATGCAAGTGACAGCACAAAGATGTGGCAAAGGCAGGAGACCGGGAGTGACCTCATCAGGCTGTGACTAATCACTGGTCCTGGGGAATGAAGCAAGGGAAAGGATGATGGGCTGCTGAGTCCTCCTGAGAGCCATTCCCATTGCAACAAGGCTAGCTCTGGGGAAGGAGTTACAATAGGGGTATATTGTTTCTTTAGGGAAGTGCTTGTCTGCAGTCCTGCATGGCACTGGCTTTTCTTTTAATGTTGTTGGTTTAAGGGCAGGAACACTGGGAAAGGCAGAAGGGAAAATAGTGTTGAGACTAATCAACACTGAAAAAGTATCTGCATTTTTGTCTTGTCTGTCATAGGCTTTTACATGGAGACAGGTTTGGAAGTGTGAAGCAAAGAACCTTCAATGAGCTTAAAGTTTCCCACTGAAGTCCCCATAGGCAACCTGAGCAGTTCTTTACAGCACCTGTGAGTGGATCAACCGTAGCGTTCCCCACAACCTCTCCTTCTTCATCACTTCCTACAGTGACTGCATCCCCAGGAACCTTCTGACTCTGCACACCTTCAGGCCAGCTGTCAGTGCCTCCCCTTGAAAGGCACCTCTCCCTAGTGTTTGTAGATGGTGATTTCCCTGCCAGTGTGAGCAGTACAGCCCCTGCAAGTGTAATTGCACCCTTTCAAGGGAATCAGGTCACAAAAAACTTGTTGGTGCAAGAACTATACAGACAGCCTCTGCAAGCCTGAAATGTTGAAAGCAACCTGGAAAACAAGGAAGATCCTGTTCATCTATTCAGCCAGTGCTTCTCTTGTCTCCAACTCTGCCATTCAAGGACTTGCTAAAACCTCTCTGCCACATGAAGACACTGACAGTGTTTTCAGTGTCACAGGCCTATCTGTAGAGAAACAGGAAAACAATATAAGAGGAAACAAAACAACACAAACAGGTTTCCAGAGATCCCCAAATAATCCAAGTGGCATCTAATTAATATTGTCAGCTTCACCTAAGTATTCAAGGGGGGGAGGGGGGGACTTCCTTCTTAGTGGAGATGCTTATTCATGCCACTACTTGCAGGTTAGTTTGAAGATGGACAGAGATAAGCAGAAATAATTGCTTAAATAAGGAGAGAGTCCAGGATTTGCTACTCCTCTGGTGTGCCAAAGCAGTATGCACAACTATTTCTCATTTAAACTTCCTGGCTGCTGCTGAGCCATTAGCCTTTATGCTTCATTTGCCTGCCAGTACCAGGCAGGAGGAAGAGCAAGCAGGCAGGCCAGCTCATCTGATCTATTGCATTTATTGCTGAGACCTGTTTTCTGAGGTAGTGCCAAATAACCCAGTTTTGGGTTGATCAGTCAAATTCTAAGTCAGGAAATGTTTTCCTCTCTCAGCATTCTTCACTGCCCTTTCATTGCCTTATGAAAGGTGAGACTATTTGGGGAGAGGAGTAAGACTGATTACTGATCATCTGACTGAAGAATCCACAGGCTCCTCTCTGTGTGCTGGTGGGAAAACAGCAGTACTGCTCAGGTGAGAGATGAGGACTGTGTGAGCTGGAAACCCCTGGCTGCTTCCTTAAGTCTCCAGGAGTTGAAGGCAAGATATGATGTGCTCTCCCCCTTCTTGCTAGAGCTCTGGGGCAATGGTGCAGCCTTTTAGGTTTCCACATTCCTGTGGAGACACTGGAGGATATGGGAAGTGGATGTTAAGAAGGTGGGTGTACTGGGGTTGTTCACCTGGGGCTCTGGGTTTTGAAATTTCCAGCCTTGGGTACATTTTCTGATGCACACAACTTTTTCCTGTGACTCTTCCTGCTCACAGGAGAGTGCAGAACCTCTTTACCTTGTGATGTCAACATCATACTGATATAGTCACCTCTGTTGTCTTCCCTGCTTTAATTTGTATTAACTATCATGTTTGCAACCACAGGGAATGTGATTATTTTCTAAAACAGGTGGAGAGTGGCTTCTGACTGTCTTGAAGGGAAACATTCCTTGCAAGGCTGGGACCCAAGGGAAAGGGACTGACCTGCTTCCCTGGAAAGATGAGCTGAGGCCTTGCTGAATTATTGAGCACACACTAGAGTCGTCAGCTTAAAGAGAAAAAGAAGCACCAGCTTAGGTCACAGGTGTGAGATGGACACTATAAGCTTCAAGAACAGAGGAGTGTAACCAGATCTGCCTTGTGCACTTGGTTGCTCTGCTGCCTGGATCAGCGTCACAGCTCCTTGGCACTACAATGTAGATGCTCAGCTTGGTTTGGTGGCCCTCTCTGGGGCCAGAGACAGTCACAAAAGCTCAGATACACACACCTGGAAACTGAGGCGCAGTGCTTCAGTCTAACACTCAAATGTATTGGCCACATGTAAACCCCCTTTATTCACCTACATAAATGATAAGCTGATTTGCAAAGAACATGATCACCAGCAGCTGCATCAGGAGGTCTATTGGCGTTTATGTGTGTGTAGCTCTGGTGAAAAAAAACAGGTTGTCTGATTAGATGACTTAGTTGCTCAGGTATGTATGCTCACCTCTGAAATTTCAGTCTAGGTTGTATGCCCAAGCCTATTAGGAGAGATAACTAGGTTGAAAATAAGATCTCATCTCCCAGCCATGCCTGAGATCCCTGAGATTCCCCCTGCTGTGCTTGTCCAAATAAAATGGTGAATGTAGTTCTGTCCCCTTGGCCACCTGAATCTGCTGTGATGCGAGGAAAGGAGAGGATGGGGTGCAGCACTGTACAGGTGTCTGGTGGACCAGGAGGAGATGCTGCCTCATTCAAAAGGGACAATATCACTTACCCTTTATGAGGTCCTGTGCCTGCAGGAACTTCCACCACACCCTCATGGAGTGATCTTACAGTCTTTTTGCTTCTTCTTCTTGCTTTCATGCTAGATTAAAATAGTTCATTACTGCAGGAGGCCTACTTTATCTGTCAACATTTATTTCTATGTTGCCAACTTCTCATTACAAAGAATTCATGACTAAGCTCACAGAAGCCAAAGCAGTAGGATGAACATGCTGAAATCTGACTCATTTTGGCTTACAGCTTTCCTGAAAGGTCCTCTGACATCCCCCTCTGAATGTCTTATTCCACTGTAGGGTGACACTGATAGAGCAGCAGGAGGGCACCAGGGTCCGCTTATTACTTTGTCAATAGAATATGGATGGTGGGGTGAGTCTGCCCGTGGACCTTTTCAGATGTGGTACCTCAGTGCATTGCTCACACTCAAGTGAGGTTACAAGTCAACAGCAGACCGAGCTGTTTGAAGAGCCATCAGGTTTGAAGGGCAGGTTATATTCCCCTTTCCCTCTTCCTCATACTTACCCTGTGACCTCTGGATCCTGTACTTCCTAAGTTCAGCTATGCTGGCACATGCTTAGCAAGGCAAGTCCCATCTTTGAAGCAGAGTTGAACAGAACTGCTCAATGAAGAGCACTGGAGTCAGCACAGGGGGTGGAGCAAGGGGGCAACTTCCCTGCAAATTTCAGCTACTGCAAAGTTTTGTACAGACTCAGGGGTGCCAGGTAACTTCTCTTGCAAGTCTGGTCCTCTTTCTCTGGTCTGAATGCCAGCCTCTTGGGACCAAAGAAAATACACGTTGGTTTCTCCTGTTAGAATTGTCAGTCCTTAAACACTAAAACAGAGCACTGCTGTTTCCAGATGGGAGCTTGACACCTTGCAATGTGTGTCCTTTGGTCCAGAGCTACCTTGTGAAAACCTGCCTATTGTGCCAGCATGTTAACCTTTGAAAAGTCAATAGCTTTATAGGATTATAGGATTGACATTATAGGGTGGTCAGTGGAGTTTGCAAGGTTTCTGACAGTTAAGAATCTCTGAAGAATCTGCATTCACTGAGTATGCTCAGAGCCTCTCACAATACAGACTTTTCTGGGAAAATTTGGTCTAAATAAGACAGTTGTAGGAATGTGATTAGAGGGAAGATACAGCCAAGTAGTGAGGGAAAACTAGTAAAGCTGCTTAAATTAAACAGCTGACAGCAGTCTTCTGGATAGAAATTTTAGGCTGTCTGAAAAGCAGAGGAGATTTTATCAGTTTCAGGTATACTTTAATACTTCATCCCTCACTGATGTGGAAGCAAGTTTCAGGATCAGCATTTTGTGGAACTTTCCATCAGAAAAATAATATTTTTTTCTCAAATTTAGGAAGAAGAGAAGGGCTGGAATGGTCCTCCACATTTTTCTGTCACCCCATGTACAGGATGTTGCTGGCTGGCTGTACCACCATCCCTCTGGGCAGAGGAATGTGGCTTTGCCAGGGGACTGAGTATGACTTCCAGAGGAGACCAGCTGCCCTGCAGACTGCGCCATGCTGCCCAGCATTAGCTGTCGATGGGAGAAAGGTTGGTTGCTTTTCCTTTGGTTTATCTAGCTCTTGCTTTCCCACTGGAAGTATCTGCTACCAGGAGCAGCAGAGACTTACTTGCTTTTTCCCCAAAATCCCAAGACTGGAGTTGTTGGTTCTGCCTCATGATAGAGGTCTCAGCTGGTTTGACTGTTTGATAGGGCAACTCCCTGGGCAGGTTGCCCAAGGGCTTTGGGAACAGATGGATAAAGGGGTGTGATAAGACATCTAGAGAGCCCTGGCATTCCATAAACACAGCCAGCCTGATTTCTGATCCTCTGAACAGTGCTGCTCACGTGTATCCTTCTAAAATGGTACAGGGCAATAATGCTGCAGACCTTTAACCTGTCTTCCAGTAAGAAAGATATTGTAAACCAAGCAACGATAGCAGGTTATGATGCTTCAGCAGGTCAACCTGTTTACCATGAATATTTTTTCTGTAGGAAGGAGCTAGTGCTATATCCCTAGTGTGGGACACTGCCTTCCCCTGCAGAGTCATCATGGCAAATACTGTACTTGTGGGGTTTTTTGGTAAGAACACAGATACTTTATTATATCTCAGAGGCACCTTGCTCAAATGATCTCAACTTCAGGCTGCCAAAGTTTCTACAGATTTTTTTTAGAAAGCTGGAGTAAATTTACAGATTGTAGACCACTGTAAAATGGGACTCCTGAGTCCAAGTTTGGCTTGCAGTGTCACTGACCTAGTATTCCTACTCTTCTAAAATAGCAAACGTAGCCACCTGACTTCAGACCCCTTCTCCTTATCTGTGCTGAACCCAGTGCTTTAGCTGAAAAATGACCAACACTCCATTTCAATAGGAGCTAAACCCTGTACCTGCAGCTAAAGTAGTTCACAGAAGCTTGTGGAGCTCAAACACATCAAGATTCCATGCATTATGTATGGTTTAGCCCTCTGGAATTGCACATGCATGTAAGTTACGCCTGTAGGAAAACAGTCATTTAAAACCTCCTTCTTCCCCACCTCTTGGCACTGACTTGCGTTAAATATTAACAAGCCTGGTTCATCAATTCCCTGCTTCACTTGGCTACTTTTAACAACAGATTTTATTACAACAACTCCTCTGCCTGCCACCCTGCTCCTGTCAGCATAGCCAATGGTGAAACCCAAGAATCTGCTGCTGTAACTCTGCCTGCAGAGCCTGGCTGCTGCCCCGGCCCTGTGGTCTCCCCCAACCCTCTCCCTGGGATCACCAATGCTGCCCGCCTTTGGTGACTGTGAGTAGCCTGTGCTGTGAGCCACTAGTTACAGAGAAGTGCTGGTTAAGGGAGAGAAAAGGAGTGAGGGAGCCCACAGGAAGGGGAGTTCCTGCTGCCAGAGGAGGAAGCGGTAAGCATGGCCAGCAACTCCAGCACGCTGCCCAGGGTGACTTTCCAGACACCAGAGAAACCTGGGGAGGAATCATCACACAGGAAACTGGGCAAGTTAACCATAAAGTACAACCGCAAAGACCTACAGCGCTGGCTAGACCTGGAGGAATGGATCAACACCCAGCTGCAGGAGCTGTACCAGTGCCGGGTGAGTAGCTGCAGCAAATCAGCCTCTCACTCTTCAGGTGAATGGGACTAGAGGCCCTGGGTGCTGGGATATGTTTGCTCTGCTGCTGCACTCTCGCTGCTGTGTCTGCAGAGAGCCTGCACCTGTAGCATCTAACTAGATTTATACTGCCTGGTCTGGCACCCACTGGGGGGCTGTAGCTATTGCTCAGCACAAGTAGCAGAACCTAGAGAGATGCATAAACCCAGGATGTTTCTTGTTGCTGAGCTCCATATGGAGAGTGGCTTCACTGCAAGCAGTGTCTAAGCCAGCTGAGTTACAGTCATCAGTGTGTGCCTGTTCCTTTTGGTCACATGAGTGTAGCTATAGCTGCTGTTGGAATGAGACACTCATGATAATGCTGTACCTGCAGCTGCAGAGTATGGCCACACTACTGCCAGCAGGGGAATAAAGAAAGAAAAAACCAACCCAGACATGCTCAAATGTAGAGATCTTAGGCTGTCATCTACACAAATCCCCAGAGCTGTGTTCCTTGCCTGACATTCCCTTTACACCATAAACAGTCACTCCTAAATTCCTCTTGTCTGTCTGAGAGCTGTGCCCCTAAAAAAAAAGTGCAGGAGTGCCTAGGTCCAGCACCTGAGTGGTACCAGTCTTTACTGGAGCTGTCGCAGGGTACACAACATTTTTTCTTCAAGGTGGTGTGACATTTAAGTAAAGTCCCAGAACTGGTTGAGTACCCTGAATTTTTAACCTGGTAGTATCGCTTCTCTTCAGACCTTGTGCTTAAATGGATGGATGGCACTTGCACTGGGAGTGTTCAGAAAGTGCTTTTCTCTGAGATAATTCCTTTGGAGTGTGGTATAGGATAAGTGGAAAGGATTTCCACATTGTACACCATGGTCTTATACCCATTTAAACAGCTTGATTAAGGGTTTTGCTGCTATGTGTAGTAGGACAATGGCTGATGCAGTAAGATAATATAGCTTCCTTGACTCACAACCTAGTACACCTTCAGCAGAAGACATAGATGGGTTTAACAAGTAGTGTAGAACAGCTTATTCATGTCCTGGATGGGGATGGACTAAATGAATTGGCAAGCCCTTTCTGCCCTGTTTTCTGTATGTGCACAGTGCAGCATTCATCACATTTTTGAGACACAAGGGGAAAAGCGCTGATGATTGTTCACTGAGGTTTCCATCCAGAACATCAGCAGTTTTGAATTACAATCAACAGTGGAAGTGGACATGTTAGAATAGCCCAGAAAAGGCAATTTTTGTGCTACATGCCATGATGGTAGAGAGAAGCTTTTGCCTGCCCAGGCTTCTTTTCTGGGCCTAAGAGCCAGGTGTTATCTCCACAGCCAAAGAGCCAAACTTCAGGAACTGTCTCTGAGGTCATCTTTATTATTGTTGTTGCTGTTTATTATTATTATTATTCCCATAATTATTATAGCAATTTTCTGTGTGACTGTTTCCTGTTTGATGTTTGTGGGAGTGTACCAGGTTGTCATGCCATGTTGGGAGAGAAAATAGTTAATTTCTGTTTTTATTTATGTCACATGCAAAGAACATGCAACAGAAAACAAATATGGAGAAAAAGGTCATGCCTTCTGTGGCAAATACATGGCTTCTCTGAAAATGAGCATATTGCTGCTCCTGTTCTGTTAATTAACATTCTTAGGCTTCCCAAATAATTTTATAGATTGCTCAGTAAAAATGACAAAGGACAAAAGCTCATAATCTTCTCAAGACTTCATTGTGAATTTCCAGTTTTTTTATATGGTTTATAGAGCCCTTAGTCTGACTGTTGAGATTTGCCAGAGATAAGAACAGACCATGGCTTCTGCTGTTCAGAACACAACACAACATCTTGTCCTTTTGGGAATTACTGCATAAGTTTTAAAGAGAATGTTAGGGGTTTGTTGTTTTTTCATATTTTTTTTTTTAATAGATGAGCAGGACTTGGTACCACCAGTAACATGATCTAAGATGAGTCTCCTCCCCACGTGCTACTGTTAATTGTCCAAGTCTACAGATGTACACTTATAAAGGTGTAAAAACACCAAATCAGGTTACATTATCACATCTGATTTTCTGAGAATTAGGAGCTGTTTAATGTCATTAGAGTAGCTGCTCAAAAGGGATATTATTTCCCCTACTACAAAATCCTAGCAGGCACAAGTGAAATGCACCCATGTCCCTAGAGGAGCAGATTGCCAGCAGATTGTATTTGCTAGCACCACTCCAGCACAAGAGGTTTCCCAACTTCTTGGTGTATTTGGGCCAGCCTAAGAGATTTGCTACCTGGAACTACAGAAGATGATGCTGTGCCAGCTCAGAGACTCCTAACAGAAGGCTACATAGGATTTTTTCAAATAAATACATGTGCCACAGTAGATTACTTGTAATCACTCAGGTGTCTAGGCTTTTTGCAACAAAACTAAGACACAGAGGACAATTTTGGTTTCCAAGATGATTCCCTGCACATGGAAGCCAGAACACCATCCATACTAGGACCAGAAAGCCATGAGGAATTCCTACCTATCTCACCCTGCTGACCTAATTAGTTTCTTAGCCAGAAACAGTCAGGCTGGATCAACACATGTTGTTTAAACAGTCACATGAAAACTATTACTTTTAAGAAGAAATGCCCTGTGGGTCACAGTACAAGATATTTAACTCTGTTTTACTACTCACTGTGAAGCCAGCTGCATAAAAAATCTGAACAAAAGTTTTCTACTTCCTCTCTGGCTTGGTATCAGAGACTGCTCAGAAGTTGTTTTCCTGTTATCATTGCCTTTATTAATGTTTTACATACACATCCATAAATGCTACCCAGCAATCAGGTACTGTGTTGTTTACTCAGTAACTTTATTCTGCTGATCACTATGTTAAAATATCACTAGTGTTGTGTTGTCAAAGATTCCTTTTGCAGACACATGGGAAACCAGAGCTTGCTTCCTGTAGTCTTGTGGAGACCCGTGGAGCTAAAATGTGTCTGTGTCAAGTTTACAAACAGGTTCAATGAACAACCCCCATGTATTACAAGATTATTACTCCAACCACCAAAGCTTGGGATCTCCCTTATGTTAAAGGAGGCTATCATAGGGCTGTTAGAGAAAGCTCACAAAATATCATTAGGCCTTTCAATAGCACAATGGCTTTCCTCTCCATTATCACAAAAAGCCTTAGTATAAATACCAACTATGTGAATGTATTTAGCCTAAAAGCCTAAAATCTCCTTGTATTAGTTGTGCCTCTCTTAAGATTAAGCCCACTGGATTTCTGTTTGCTGAACACTTGTGCACCCTTTTCATAGATAAAGGTTGTCCCAGGCTGGCTTATGTTGTATTGCAGTTGGCAATTGCAATTGGATATTGTTGAAGGGCTCTTCCCATGATGGATGACAGTCCTTGAGTAGTGGTATCAAGTGTTGAGGTGAGAAAAGATGAAGAACATGTACATCAGGATGTGTGGGTGCAGCAGACACCACAGAGGGGCTGCAAACCATGCTCTCTGTATAAGAACCTCCTTAATTTGTGACTATTTTTAATCTTGACTTCAACTTTGCAGCACAGTCATATTGTAACTAGTTCATTCTCAGCTGCTCAGTTCTTCAAAAATGGCCACTAGAATTCTTACAAGCTTGAAGGTTTATTAACCTTTTTCTTTTTTCCTCTTTTTTCCCCTTTTTAGCTAAGAGAGGAATCAGAGGAAGCAGCTCCTGAACCACAAATTGATCTTGAAGATCTCCTGGAGGTCCCTAATGAAGAACAGAAATTAAAACTACAGGTCAGATAAAGGGACTTGACTTTAAGCTAGGGACTTCATAAAGAGCAGTAGCTGTGCGGGATACAAAATATGTATATACGGGGTTGCTGCAGGAGGCTTTCCTGTGTCTTAGCCTGTCAAATGTATTAAGATTATATCCTCTTTTTGTAGGGAGGGGAGAACAGGTCAAGTCATAAAATACTAAAATGACTCCTCCTTGGTTTTTAGGAAATCCTCCATGAGTGCTCCAGCCCAACAGAGGTGAGTGAAACACCATTAACATATATTTGCTATATTGTGCTGTAAGAGTGTGTCTTTGCTGCTGCTTGGCTGAACAGCCAAGTTATTACTGTGCCTAACGTGATGCTGCAGATTTGTCCAATTCCCAGTGGGAGATGTTTACCACTTCATTCTGCTGTGTTAGAAAAACACAAGTAAATCTACATGGGTGAGCTGAAGGCAGAGCAGTGGAGCAAATAAGGAAGTGTGCTTTACAGCCAGAGAAAGTTCATTCCATGCTTTTGGAATCCTAAGCTGATCAGGCTGCTATTTGGTCCTCAGTGTAGAAAAGCCATGACAGTGACAGAGCTCACATAGCCATCTTTGAAACCACTCTACTGTTTTAAATGACAAGAATGTAGGCTGGCCCTCAGATTGCATTGGGCAGAGAATTGTTGAGCAGTGGCCATGTAAGAGAGTTTTACAAGATTTTTTCTCCTATGTGAACTTTTCAAGTACTGGCTTTGAGTTAGAGAGCTAAAGAAATCCCATTCACTGTCACCATGTCCAAAGGAGTGGAGCCCACACCATACAGCAACTGCCTTCACTGCACTGCATGCCTGTGCAAAACAGGGTCCCTCATCACTGCTTCAGTGGCAGGCATGGCATGTGAACACTGTGCTTGGACATCACTCATCAGTCTCCCCATCTTGTCCAGCCTATGTAGCTGCAGTGATGAACACACTGAAAATGAGGTGGATGCAGGACTGTCATTGAAATTAAACTCAGCTGTAGCAATCGTTACAAACTGTTTCCTAACAGGGGTTCA